AAGTGCCCTATAACCCACATCCAAGCCAGGGGTATAGAGGGGAACAAAGGTTGAAAGATAATTTTACACCAATAGGAGAGTCCAATGCAAGTGTGTTTGAGAAATTAAAGCATTATGATATGATTGCACCTATTCCTCCAAATCATGTGGACCCACGTACAAGAAGCTTTTACCCTTCTAAAAGGTGTGAATACCATTCCAATGCCCAGGGGAACAATGTTGAAAGTTGTCGGGATTTGAAAAGAGAAGTAGAAAGGATGATCCAAGAAAAACTGATTGTGATCCAAGATAATGACACTTAGAATATCATGCAGAATCCTTTACATGCACATGATGATGCACACTTTGTGGGGATGATGTGTGGTGACATGGAGTATGAGAATCCTCTCGGGAACTTGCCAACTGAAATTGGAGAAGGCCATGGTGATTCTGATGAGCAAATTTGTGGCTAAATGTCAAACTTAGCAATTGAAAAGTCATTCCTTCCTCACTATGAAGGAATCTTGGTAGCTTGTTTTGATATTTTTTCTATTATCTGGGTTATTCCAGGGTGTGATCCATATTTTATTTGTTTTATTGAGTCAAATCCTTCTATCCCTCTATTTTGTTTGTGTGAGTCTTGTCTGTCTGTTTTGTTGCAAATTTTCATTAGCCGGGTTATTTAATGGCTGTAACTCGGATTTTAGGTTGTTTGTCTTGTTGTTTACTCAATGAAATACAGTTTGTCCTTTTGTGTCATTCCATGCTTAGTTCTTTTCCCGCTAGTTTTAGTGATATGACATGCATGCTGAATTTTTGGCCAGATCTTAGAAAACTAATTTAAGCTTGAATTGGATAAATGAGAAAAAAGAATTTTTGAGGATGAATAAAGAGTTGAAACACTTTGGAATTAAGCTCGAATAAAATGACCCCTGGAGGTTAATGATCTTTACCTTCAAATCATTGTGAAGGTCGGGTTTGAGGAAGAATCAATTGAAGTTTATTGGAAAGTTTGACATTAATGGGTGAAAAGTGTCTTCCGACCACGACACACCAAGAAGATAGACATGCTCATCAATGTTGTGATCACGAAAGGATACTATAATTGGTATTCTCGAGGCTAGGAGGCCCTTTTTCTACTATTCAAATACTTTATACCCTTTGTTACCCCTTTTGAGCCTATGTTATTTTCTTTGACCACCCTCTTTTGGAATTAAGTTTAGAGTCAAAAGTTCAAAAATAAAATGAAAAGAAAAGTCCATGCCCCAAGAGACCAAACTGGGGCAACTCTTAGAAAGTACAAGTGAAACAAAAAAAAAATAGAATAGTCAAAGTTCCATGTCCCAGAAAATAGAAGTTGGGCAACTTGTTTTTTTTTTTAAAAAAGAGAAAAATAAAGGGAAAAAAGAAAAAAAAAAGAGCAGAAAAAAATGAAAAAATAATAGTTAGGTCAAATGTTTGAACTATGTTAGACCTGATTCCTTTAAAAAAAGGATACGTAGGCAGCCTTACACGGTTCGGTCCAACCAAATAAGAATTCAAAAAAAAATCCAAAAATCTCCAGTATATAAAACTGGGGCATGAGTTTGTTTTAGTTTTTTTTTTAAAGAGTCGATTCCGAGAGTTGTAAGTGTACAACCCATCATATTGAGTCTACTTGGAGCCTTGTGTCGTCCCTTCTTTCCAACCCTATCCAAAAACCCTTCCAAAGAAAGACCTCCTAATCAACTTTCAAGAATGCCAAGAGGCGCATGCAATGAGCAACAGTTGTCACATGACATAGAACACCATCAAGTTGCACATACAAGAAAGCAAAGAAAAAGGAAAATAAAAGAAAAATGAGTCTTACTAGTGAAAATCCTCATGGGCACTGTAAGGCAACGGTAAGTAGAGATAAATAAATGAGAGAGGCTTGTTGAAAATCTCTCGGGGCACCACTAGTCGAAAGTGAGTTGTGAAGCTGATGCAAAGGATTGGCACGAGCAAGCCCGACTTCAAAGGTCATAAGAATAGTAAAAGGAAAGATAGGTCAACTTGATAGATCAGACCGTTAAGTCCAAAATGCATGTCATGATCATTAAGGCTAGTTACCGCAAAATAAAAAGAAAAAAAAAGAAAAAGAAAAAAAAACTCTTCCTTCTGTCCTTCTGACAGGGGCATTTCTTGTTAATACTTGTTTCTTTGCATCATTGTGCCCCTTCACTCTGAGTGAGTCCTTGTCAAAACAAGCAAGAAAAGATTTCAAAATATGCTACCAGTTTTTCAGTTGCACAAAGTAAATTTGGCCAGCATAGTCAGGTGTTACAGTCAACATGCCTTGAGGATTCATGCAAAGGCTTCCCCTTAAAATACCCATGTCATCCTACTTGGCTAAAGCAAGCAAAGATAACCTCGAGGTTAATCAGGGGGTCGGACTCTCTGTAGTACTGAACAAGAACTATGAAGTGCGCACATCATGCAAAAGACACTTACCAGTTGTGATTCTCTCTGACAGACAAATTGCTCAAAAAGCAGAAAGACATTCAAGACATAGAAAAGGTCACCTAAGCAAAGATCTCCAGTTGGGATAAGGCTGATTGAGCCACAAATACAAATGGTACTGGGTGTGAAACGATCAGGGTTGATATAAAGCAAAAAGTCTCTTGAAACCGACTCAAGCTGATTGAGCAAAAGCCAAGCTGCCCAAGACTCAAGACCACAAACCGACCACCACTTTTAAAACTGACAAAATTTCCTTTGTTTGAAATAGGAACAAAGCAGTGCAAGGAAAGTGGTTCAAAAGAAAAAAAAAGAGAAGAGAAGAGCCGACAAAGGGTAGTTTCTCAAATTTTTTCCTTTATTTGTCTTGCTAGTATGCATAAAATATTGCCATTTCTCTTCACATTTTTCCTCCTAGGATAAAAAGTCCTAGTCTGATGGATTTTCTCCCAATAAAAATCTTAGTCTGATGAATTTTTCTTCTAAGATAGAAAACCTAGTCTGATGAATTTTTTCCTAGGATAGAAATCTTAGTCTGATAAATCTTTCTCCTAAGATAACAAAAAAAGACCTAGTCTGATGAATTTTCTCCTAGGATCGAAATCTTAGTCTGATGAATCTTTCTCCTAAGATAGAAGACCTAGTCTGATGAATTTTCTCCTAGGATAGAAATCTTAGTCTGATAAATCTTTCTCCTAAAATACAAAAAAAAGACCTCGTCTGATGAACTTTCTACTAGGATCGGAATCTTAGTCTAATGAATCTTTTTCCTAAGATAGAAGACCTAGTCTGATGAACTTTCTCCTAAGATCAAAATCTTAGTCTGATGAATCTTTCTCCTAAGATAGAAAACCTAGTCTGATGAATTTTCTCCTAAGATAGAAAACCTAGTCTGATGAATTTTCTCCTAGGATTAACGTCTTAGTCTGATGAATCTTTCTCCTAAGATAATAAAAAGAGACCTGGTCTGATGAAATTTCTCCTAGGATCGAAATCTTAGTCTGATGAATCTTTCTCCTAAGATTGAAGGCCTAGTTTGATGAACTTTCTCCTAGGATAGAAATCTTAGTCTGATGAATCTTTCTCCTAAGATACCAAAAAAAAAAGACCTAGTCTGATGAATTTTCTCCTAGGATCAAAATCTTAGTCTGATGAATCTTTCTCCTAAGATAACAAAAAAAAGAGGACCTAATCTGATGAATTTTATCTTAGGATCAAAATCTTAGTCTGATGAATCTTTCTCCTAAGATAGAAGACCTAGTCTGATGAACTTTCTCCTAAGATTAAAACCTAGTCTGATGAATTTTCTCCTAGGATAATAAGTTTTAAAAAAAAAGGGAAGTCTGGTCAATTTTTAGTTTTCTTAAGTTATCAATCTTTAGTTTTCTTGAAATCAGGGGTCCTGCCTGGAGAATAGGGTCAGGTTTTAGTTTAGTCAAGCTTAGTTTATAGTTTTCTGCAAGCTCAATCTCAAATTTAGGAGACGCACTTCCTAGTTTGAGTTTTTCATATTTTTATTTCTTTAGGAGACGCACATCCTAGTCGAGTCTTTAATTTTACTCTCATCATTGCATCCTTCATCAATAGCATATGTAATTTAAAGTTCTGCTAATAACTCACAAATCTTCCTAGTGTAAACTGGGGCAGAAAAAAGTTTCTTTTGTTGTTTCCGTTTTGCTGTAGTAGCAGGGGCCCACCTGAAAAACGAGGGAATTCATTTCAAGTTCAAGTCAATAGCAGGCGCCCACCTGGAGAATGAGGAAATTCATTTCAAGTTTTATGTCATCAGGCGCCCATCTGGAGAATGAGGGATTTTATTTCAAGTTTTAAGTCATCAGGCGCCCACCTGGAGAACGAGGGAATTCATTTCAAGTTTTAAGTTAGCATGCACCCACATGGAGAATGAGAGAATTTATTTCAAGTTAGAGAGGTATCAGGAGCCCGCTTGAAGAATAGGGTCAACTTTCAATTTTTAAGTTCAATTCAGAGAAGCATCAGGAGCCCGCTTGAAGAACAGGGTCAACTTTCAATTTTCAAGTTCAAGTTAGAGAGGCATCAGGAGCCCGCCTGAAGAACAGGGTCAACTTTCAATTTTCAAGTTCAAGTCAGAGACAGCAGGATCCCGCCTGAAGAATAGGGGCAATCTCCAGTTTTTCAATTCAAATCAGAAGTAACGCGAGCCGCCTGAAGAACAAGGTTGCAAGCTCAAGTCTACCACAAGTTCAAGTCTATTTCAAGTGCAAGCAGCAGGGTGCCCGCCTGAAGAATAGGGTCAACTTCAAGTTTATTTCAATTTTAAAGTCATTGGCAGGCTCCCACCTAGAGAACGAGAGAATTCATTTCAAATTTTAAGTCAGTTGCAGGCACCCACCTGAAGAACGAGGGAAGTCATTTCAGAATTCAATTCAAGTTAGAAGTACAGAAGCTCGCTTCATGAATGCAAGTCGACAGTCCGAGATGACCAAAAGAGGAAGTCTCAATCCAGAATAAAAGAAAAAAAAGTGAATTCAAAATGTAGAAGCAGATGAAAAGATATGGGTTGCTCAAGACATGACTGAAGTCGCAAGCTTTGCATGCCCCGTCTTGATCCGAAGAAGCTGAAGAGATGAATCTGCACCTGCAGCTAGCAAGCATCAAGGTTCAAATCAAAAGTCTGCATTAAGAACCATTCAAGACTCAAGATCAAGCTTCAGAAGATTTATAGATAGGAATCTTGTAACTCATAGCTGACACGCTTAGTTAGTCTTTTTCATTTTTGATTTTGATGTAATAACAGGATCGCGGACTGGAACCTCGACGGAACGGTATCTCACTCGACTCTCTCATCCTCTCCACACACTCCATCACTTCAGAACTACTCGTGGCCTGATTCCTTTATAGCCAAGGATATGTAGGCAGCTCAGATACCAGGGCTCGGTCACAATATTTTGTCCGTCTTTGTTTCGTTTTGAATAAGCGTCGGGTCATAAATCAATTACGTTGCTTATTGTTCTTTTCTCTGAAAACTCTTCGTGTTTCCAAGCAAAGAGGGGCAGGTGTAAGCATGTAAATTTTGACCCGCGCAACAATTAAAAGTAGCATTTTAAAAAATATTTACTTACTTTTCATTTTTATAGGATTTCAGTCAACTTTTAATTTTTATATTAAAACATAAGTTTAAAAACACAAAAATAATTTATTCTTATTAACTAAGATTAATTAGTTTATTTTGGTAGTATTTTTATTTTTGTTCAACGGGAATGAATTGAATGTGGGCCAAAACAATTTACTGGTGAAGCCCATTTTCGGACCTGAGCACACTCCTCCCCTCAGCCAATTTACTCATTCCCTAACCCATAACCCTTTTATAATTCCTAAATTAAACCTAATTCATCAACCCTGGAACTCCACCTTAGATACCCACACACGACCGCATACAGGCAAAGACGGAGAACAACAACACCCATCGCTGCTCCTTCACCACAACCTGCAGTAAAACAATCACTGTCGCATCTCACCTCCCTTCTTCTCAAAAAAAAAAACATGCACACGCATAGAAGGAGGAAAAGGGAGGAACGGATAGAGTGAAATAGAACAGAGGAGACTAAGAGAATTCGGGAATTAGAATAACAAAAAATGTAGGTCACGAAACAGTAGCAATTCTCTAGGCTCAAATCAAGAGAATTGAGATATTCAATACTATAATACACTACCAATTGCAGACTTTTCAGATTCTTTCTCTTTTTCAAGTTGATTGATAAAGCTTCTCTGAGCCGATTCTTTCTTAAAGTTCCGGTCAGCTCTTTGAGTTTTGGTGTTCTCCGGGTCGAGTAGAGTTCGAGTTCGTCTGCGAGGTTCGAGTTTTTCTAGCGAGGTTCGGTCAGTCTTTCGCTTGTCAAGGTCCGATCGTGGTCCTGTGCATTGTCAAGTTTTAAAACAATCAGCGTATCTATTTAGAGGTCTATTTCCTTTCTCTTAAGCTCTAAATCTTTATTTTATATATGATTTTGTGTTAGACCATGATTGAGTTTGAATTAAATGTGATAGTGTTGATTACTCTATGTGTTGTGTATTGATTTGTTCTTGTTTAAAATCACGGCATCTTTAGTCTTTTAAAATCACGAATCTGCTCTCAATTTGGTTACTCTTCGTTTCATAGGATTTGGATTTATTTAGAGCTTAATTAGTTTGGAAAATTAGAGATTGAGAACTGATTGCTGTAAATCGCTTTACAAAATCACTTATGAACATCGTAGTTTGCTTAGGTGCGAATAATAAATAATCGTGATTATGAGTACGGTTCCCGTGGCATAGTCATGATACGTAATTCCCCAATTCGAGTGTGCGTTTCACGTGACTCGATCATAACTTCAAATATTAATTAAAATAAACATGTTGTGAGTCGCGGGTACGTTTTACGTGACGCAATGCGCTATATGTTCAAAAATAACGAGTGCGCGACATCGCGACTTGTTCAAATAAATTCCATATATTAAAAGCAGTCAGAAGGTAAAAATGCATAATAGGTTTCAAATATGTAATAAATTAGATAATTAGGCCAAGTACTAATTGTTAAGTGACCGTGCTAAAACCACAGAACTCGGGAGTGCCTCACACCTTCTCTCGGGTTAACAAAATTCCTTACCTGATCTCATGTGTTCGCAGACCATAATATAAGTCAATTTCCTCGATTTGGGATTTAAATTAAACCGGTGACTTGGGACACCATAAATTATTCCAAGTGGCAACTCTGAATTTAATAAATAATCTCATTTCGATTAATATCACTTAAATTGGAAAAACTCCCTTATCCCCCCGCTCCCTTCGAGAAAAAGGAGGTGTGGCATTAGGCCCTCGGCCTCACTCAGTCATCAACCTCTCTAGTCTCTCGGGCTCTCAGAAATCATGATAAGCAGCCCAACAACAATGATATGATGCATCAATAATGAATAAGAGAGACTGAGGTAAAAATGTGCAAATAGAACTGTGAATGAGTGTAAAACAGCAATTTAGCAAATAATTTCACAAGTACACGACCTCTGTGGATCCCAACAGTGTAAACATATGATTTAAACATGATTCATAGATCAATTTCTCTAATACGGAAAAAAATGTACAGATTTTTCAACTACACAGTTCCATGGAATGTACCAAGTCATAATTCCTATGGTGTACGGCCACACGCCTGTCACCTAGCATGTGCGTCACCTCAGAACCAATCACATAATACATATTACAGGGTTTCATACCCTAAGGACCAAATTTAAAACTATTACTTACCTCAAGCCGTGTAATTCTTTATTCTACAATGCCTTTTCCTCGTGAATTGGCCTCCAAATGCCTCAAATCTAGCCACAAATAATTCGATTAAGTCAATAAAATTTATTGAAACTAATTCCATAAGGAAATACTAATTCTCCAATAAAAATCCGAAATTAACTCAAAAATCGCATGTGGGGCCCACGTCTCGGAACTCGACAAAAGTTATAAAATATGAACACCCATTCAACCACGATTCCAACCATATAAAGTTTACTTAAATCCGACATCAACTCGACCCTCATGGGGTTTTCACAATTTTCCAACTAAATTCACCAATTAAATGTTAAAAACAACCATGGATTCGGGTAATTTGACCAATATTGAGTTAAGAACACTTACCCCATTGTTTTACTTGAAAATCTCCCAAAGGTTGTTTCTTCTCGAGCTCCAAATCGGTAAAAATCCCATTTTCAGAACTTAAACTCTCTGCCCAGTCATTTGCTCTACGCGATCGCGGACAATCACACGCGATCGCGAAGCACAAATTTTTACTGCCCAGATTTAACCCTACGTGATCGCGAACTTTTCCACGTGATCGCGAAGCTCACTCTCACAGGCCTACATGATCGCAGACTTGTCCATGCGATCGCGAATCACAAACACGTGACCTCCACTTCTGCTCCATTTCCTCTACGCGAACGCGGCCTTAGCCATGCTTTTGCGAATCACAAAATCCCATAGCTACGCAATCGCGGCCCTCTTCACGTGATCGCGAAGAACAAAATCATCACTGCCTCAAACAAGCCTACGCGATCGCAAACCATCTCACGCGATCGCATAGAAAAAAGTCACCTCTGGCCCAAATTAGCTTACGCGATCGCGGATGAACTTATGTGATCGCGTATAAGGAAACCAGAAGCAAAATACCAACAGCTATTAACTATCTCCCGAAGGTCAAAAATGATCCGTTAGTCGTCCGAAACTCACCCGAGTCCCTTGGGACCTCAACCAAATACACAAACACGTCCTAAAACATCATACGAACTTAGTTGAAGCCTCAAATCACATCAAATAACGCTAAAACCACGAATCATGCCCCAATTCGAGCTTAATGAAATTTGAAATTTCAAGTTTCCACAAATGATGCCGGAACCTATCAAATCAGGTCCGATTGACCTTAAATTTTTCACACAAGTCATAAATGACATAAGGGACCTATTAAAATTTTTCATAATCAGACTTTGACCCTGATATCAAAAAGTCAACCCCCTCGGTCAAACTTTCCAAAAATTCGACTTTCGCCATTTCAAGTCTAATTCCACTACGGACCTCCAAATAAATTTTCGGACACGCTCCTAAGTCAAAAATCACCATACAGAGCTATTGGAATCGTCAAAATTAAATTCCGAGGTCGTTTACACATAAGTCAATATCCGGCCAACTTTTCCAACTTAAGTTTTCAATTAAGAGATTAAGTGTCTCATTTCACTCCGAAATCCATCCGGACCCGAACCAACTAACCTGGTAAGTCATAAAACAAATATAAAGCATAAAATGAGCAGTAAATGGAGGAACAAAATTATAATACTCAAAACGACCGGCCGGATCGTTACAAGTATATATTCATATGTTTTTTAATTAATATTAATTATGTATTCAGATGTATTTTTAATTTATAGAAGTTAAGTTATTCCCTGCTATGTTCAGCATAATTCAATGGTTTTTAATCCCTGCAATAATCCTGCAATAATCCCACATAATTGTATTATGTTATCAGAAATGTTTTTTTGGAAATTGAATTACATATGTATTCATTTTTTATTTTATTGAATGTACACTCATGTATTTCAAGTATACATGCCCTGCTATACCTCATACCTGTATACAAATCATTTTGTAAAGTACCACGAAAAATAATAGCGTTCAATTTAGTAATCTAAACTTAAAAAATCCATCCCGTAAGAATCCAATACACCAATAAATCAATATGTAATATAAAACTTGAACAAATCTATGACATATCGTTATTGCAGTAATTAAAATCAGAACATGAACTAATTCCTTCGTGAAGCATTTCTACAATTACGCTTATTATGTCCTGCTTGCCCACATATACTACACGAATGTTGATATTTCTTCTGAAACAATTCACTTAACGGTTTATTGCGCTTCTTCTTTGGCCTTCCATGAGATATTTTCCATTTGGGTGGTAAGACAATTTCCTCTGATATATGTGCTGGTATATTCCATTCACTTCGGTCAGGCAGTGGATACACGGGCACCTCGTATGTTATTACAACAGACTTTGGTTTGTAATAGTCCGAGCAATAATCTTTCGGCATTAGAAACTTGCTTTTCAAGACAGCCCAAGGATGTGGGCATGGTAATTCGTCAACTTGGAACCGCCCACAACTGTAATTTTTCTCTAGGAGTCAAACGGTGTAATGTCTTCCTTCATCATTCACCATGTGCAAGTGTTCAGTCGATGGTACAACCTATATTAAATGGAGAAATATAAGTTATGGTCATTTGTACAAGTCATGTATCTGTCAAAGACCAAACGTATTAAATACAGTATACATGTATACAATTCTGAAACATTTAAAATACACTGAATGTTAACAATGTTTATCTGACAGAATATTAAATTGAATACATTTATTTGTGAAATACAATGACATACAATATTCATGTATACAATGAAAAAAAAAATTAAAATACACTGAATACAAACACTATTTTATCTGACAAAATATTAAAAGTGAATACATTTATTTGTGAAATACAGTAAAATACTGTCAATACAAAAACAAAACCATTGAATACATCCAATGAAATACATATGTAGTAATATTTATTATCAACATATAATATGCAGTAATTACAACCGTTTCAGATTTTGTAACAGAATACATGCACCAGTGTTATTATAAAAAGCGCATGCAGTATGTTAATAATAGAAATTGTATCAGGCATAAATACATGATGCAAGTACGTATAGAAAAAAAAAACTTACAGTCATACGTGTAGACAATGCCTCATTCAATGTAAGGATCTCTTGGTATTGTTTCCCAAGCGTTGTGTATGTGTATGAAGCTTCTTTCTGATTGCTGCAATTCCAACATCCAAACATCTTCATAACTTCTTCTAGGAAGTTGTATATTGGCAATTCTCTTGTTGATACAAGTGCAACATTGATTGACTCAGCAATATTTGACGTCATAGTCCATCCATGGTTAACAGGTGCATACAACCTAGCCCACTTTTCGTATCCAGCTAATTCCAAGTATTCTTTCACCCGAATATCTACCTTCTCCACCTTTTCCATTAGACTATCAAATTCATCCTGAGTATATGCTTTTGCCATCGAAAAGTATACCTCGCTCAACTTTGCATGACTTTTTTTTAATTTCTTATATATGTTGTTCCATAGATGCCATATACAAGCAAAATGGGGTACCGTAGGATACACTCTCGATATAGATTTGATGATGCTCTCATTCCTATTTGAAACGATGCACATGTTTTCCCGCTCACCATAAGCTACCTTGAATTGCTCAAAGAACTACAACCAAGCTGCATCATTCTCTGAATCAACAACACCATATGCTAGTGGCAATATATGTCTTGTAAATACAATTGCATACAGATAAAAAAAAATATCATCCAAGTTGTACTAAGAAGTCAAAATACCATATTTTATGTTAATCTGTATGTATTTTGTTTTTTAACTGACTCGCCTGCACCATCCAATGTGCTAGCCGAGACGAATGTCCCCGTGTATGCCGATTTTAGGTGGCTGCCATCCAAAACCACGATGGGTCTACAGTAAACGAACCCCTTTATAAAAGCATACAATGATATATATAAATACATGAACTCATTTTTCTGTGATTTTTTCATTCTTATATGTGAACGAGGATATGTCATATCCAATGTACATAAGTACCCTGTTAATTTATTGTATGAATCAGTTGGTTCACCTCTAAAAAAATTCACTGCTTTTTCTTTAGCGCTCCACGCCAACATGTAACTAACATCTACACCAAAGTCTCATTTCACATCATCAATTATATCTTTTGACGTGTATTTCCTCTTATGATTAGTAAACTTGGACCTAATCATACCCCCAATCAACCTACTGGTTACTTGACGTTGCTCATACACCTTATCCTTCAACGAACATGTATGCTTATCATTGAACTCCCTCACTTTGAACATTTGTGATTTGTTAATACTAGAAGCCTTAAATCTCCATTCACAATCCTCAGAAATACATAACAATGTATAGCTGCAAATACATTTGTGTTATACATATGATTGGTTATGTGTGGATAAAATATAAACAGATCCTACAGCTGATTCGGTTACATACACACAACATTTTCATTTGCCAACAAAGTTTTGAATATATAAACATACAATGAAATACAATGTGTGTTTATTGAATATACTATAGATTTTGTTTTAATACATTGCATAAAAAAATGTATAAACATACATTAATATAAATAGTTAAGTTCTCATATAACTATTTCAGAACATTCAATTATAAAAATACTATTTATAACGACCCAGCCGGTCATTTTGATCTCTAGCACATAATTCAGTGATTTGAGGCCCTGAACAGCTTCACTGCAGGTATAATGACTTGTACGTACGGTCGGAATTTAATTTTGGGAAGTTCGTAGTTAGTTTGGGAAGAAAATTCTAAATTCAGAAGCTTTAAGTTTAAAGAATTGAGTAAAGTGTGATTTTGAGTAAACGACCTCGGAATTGGGATTTGAAGGTTCCAACAGATTCGTATGATAATTTTGTACTTGGGCGTATATCCGAACTGGGTTTTGGATAGCCCGGGAGAGTTTCAGCGCCTATTGTGGAAGGTTGGCATTTTGAAAGAATTTCATAAAGTTGGGTTGAAGTGTATTTCAATGTTATCGATGTCTGTTTGGGATTTCTAGTTTGGGAATAGTTCCGTATGGTGATTCTGGTATTGGGAACGCGTCCGGAAGTGGATTCGGAGGTCTGTAGGTCATTTTGGGGTTATTTGGCGGAAGTTAGAAATTTGAAGGTTTTTGAGAAGTTTGACCGGGAGTGGACTTTTTGCTATCAGGGTTGGATTCTGATTCCGGAAGTTGTAATAGGTCTGTAATGTCGAATGTGACTTGTGTGCAAAATTTGAGGTCAATCGGACGTGATTTGATAGGTTTCGGTATTGAATGTAGAAGCTTGAAGTTCTAAAGTTCATTAAGCTTTAATTGGGTTGCGATTCATGATTTCAAAGTTGTTTAATGTGATTTGAGGCCTCGAGCAGGTCCGTGTTATGTTATAGGACTGGTTTGTGTGATTAGACGAGGTCCCGGGGGCCTCGGGTGTGTTTCAGACCAAATTGGAGCTGTTATAGACTGTTGTTACTGGTGTCTGGTTTCCTTTTTCGCAAACGCGAAGGAAGTCCCGCGTTCGCGAAGAGGAATTTATGGGGCTGCTGGGTTTGGCCTTCACAAATGCGAGCCAGTGGATGCGAACGTGAGGCAAGAGCTGGACAAGTCTTCGCGAACGCGACCAAGGCGACGCGAACGCGAAGAGGAAATGAGGGAGCTGGGCCTAAGGCCATTTGGCCTACGCGAACGCGTAGAGGGGTACGCAAACGCGAAGGGGCGGGTCAGTTGGCCTTCGCGAACGCGATCAAAGGGTCGCGAACGCGAAGAGAGATTTCTGGGCAGTGAGTTGTTTTTAAAACGGGATTTTGGCCATTTTCACTTCATTTCCTCCATGGGAGCCGGTCTTGGAGCGATTTTGGAGCTCCATCTTCATCATATATGTCAAGGTAAGTGATTCCCACCTATTGCAAGTTAAATACTTGGATTATATATGTATTTAGACTTAAACATTTGTGAAAATTTGGAATTTTGAAGAAAAACCTAGAAATTGGTATTTTTGGATTTTGACCACGAAATTGGATATGGAATTTGGAATAAATTATATATTTGAGTTTGTGGTGTCATGAGTAAAGTTTATCTTCGAAAATTTTTGGAATTCGGGCACGTGGGCCAGAGGGTGATTTTTATCAAATTTTCGAGCGGAGTTGGGAATTTATTTAAATCGAATTGTTGTGAGTATTAGAGTTTATTTTTATGGATTTCCACATTTATTGACTAGTTTTGGAGCGTTGGGCATCGGTTTGAGTTGTTGGAAAAGCCTGGGAGTTGGCTATGGAACTTCAGAGCGAGGTAAGTCTCCTTTCTAACCTTGTAAGAGGGAATTAACCCCATAGGTGAAATGATTCAATATGTGTTTCTATTTGTGGGGGCTACGTACGCACGAGGTGATGGGAGTCCGTGCGTAGTTACTAATATGTTTATGTCCGGGTAGTCTAGGACCCAGATCATGCTATACATGGTAAATCAATTTTTAAAAAAGGTTAATGTCACGACCCAAAATCCAACTACCCATGATGGCACCTAGCCTCACCCGCTAGGTAAGCCAAATAACAATAATCTGATTCAATTAATATTTAACTGACTCTAATACGCTCCCCAAGGATTAGTAGTACAAATCATGAGCTTCTAAGATTTGAATTTACAAAGCTGTTGTGAAATAAAATACATCATCTGTTTGAAATATACATGAACAGATTAATAATTCAAAAGATACCAAGAACAAGAGGCAGTTGTGACTGGATCGCAGGTACATCTTCAATGCTAGCTCCCGTCATGCACAACAACATTAGCATCCAAAATCTGCACGCAAGGTGCAGAAGCGTAGTATGAGTACAACCGACCCCATGTACTCAATAAGTAATAAACCTAACCTTAGGTTGAAAGTAGTGACGAGCTTGTACCAAGGTCAGAGTCCACACCCATATCCAGTAACATCTCATAACAATAAAATTGATGCAACACAAAGAATAACTCAATAATAAAATGCTCAGCTCGTTCACAGTTCTGGAAAAATAAACATTTTCTTTTCAAGTATAATAGTAAAACTCAATTCTTTTCACTGAAATCGCCAAAAATATGAGTAAGTCTGAAAACTGTGATTTTTCCCAAAAACAACTTTCTTCCACAATAGGGAAATTTCATTTTCAAATGGCATGAGGAAAGTACATCTCCATGTCTACATGTCAATGTGCATACCAATGCGATACAACACAGTGATAAAATCATATGCATACTCTCAGAGTATCAATTCACTCAGTCCTCCCAATTAATCAATCCTCTCAGTCACTCAGCTCTCCCAATCACTCACTCCTCACAGTCACTCATGCCTCACAGTAACTCAATCCTCCCAAATCACTCGGCACTCGCACTCAATAGGTACCTACGCTTACTAGGGGTGTGTACAGACTCCGGAGGGGATCCTTCAGCCCAAGCGCTATAACAAGCCAATCATGGCATAAATTAATGAAACATGTTACGGCGCGCAGCCCGATCCCATAAATATCCTCACCATCAGGCCCTCGGCCTCACTCAGTCATCAATCTCTACAGTCTCTCGGGCTCACAATGTCATGAAAACTCAGCCCAAAATGATGATATGATGAATCAATAAATAGCAATACAGACTGAGAGATGAAATGAATGAACATGACTGAGTTTCAATTTTTATTTTAAACAAATTTAACTACAATATGACCTATGTGGGTCTCAATAATACTAGCATATAGCCTCAGCATGATTTGAACATGATTCTCAGCTCAATAGCTCTAGTACGTAGAGATTTTCATGATTTCAGATAAGTTCAAGTAACTACACAGTACCACAGGAATAATGGAGTCACAGTTCACACGGTACACGCCCACACGCCCGTCACCTAGCATGTGTGTCACCTCAACACCAACACATAACACGTATAATTCAGGGTTCATATCCTCAGCTCCAAGATTAAAAGAGTTACTTACCTCAACAAGACGAACCCAACGTCGAGCAAGCTAATCAATACTCCGGAAATTCCATTCCGTGCATATCAACCTCTGAACGGCTCAAATCCTAATGATTTCCTTGAAAATCCCTCGATAATAAGATTGCCACAAATCTAGCTTTCTTAATTCAACTCTTTAGTGATATTAAAAAAAACTCCCACTACTCTTACAACTTCAATCTACATTAACATAATTCAATTGGACCAATGTTAGTAAACAAATTCCCAGATTTGATCATTTATCAAACACCTAGTAGGCATACATTAATACATTTCTTAACCATAGAATTAGTTCTTCCAACTACCATCATTTACCAACAATTCATCCCACCATAATTATTTAACAACTTATAATCCTAACATTACATGTGTGACCAACCATTCTCACCCAACCAATAAAACTCCATCAAATAATCACCTTTCAATTTCTACAATAGGTATTCATTTA